TTTGAAACAACCATTGAAATATTATTTTTACTCGCTGAAATTATTCCTCTTGGCAACACCAGTGTCTTAAAGATCTGTTTCTAATGAGTCTGATGTGTCTTAACTGTAAGTGGATAAAGTCTGTAGCCTTTGGTTCAGTGAAAAATTACACACAAAAAAGTTTATCCGAAGGTAGTTTGAGGTTAATGCAGACTGAGTTAAAAAATTAAGTGAGCATTTTGCAAAGCTGGGTCTTTTATCACCATATTCCTTGTTGCTCCAAAAACCTTATCTATAGTACAAAAGGGCAAAAAGGACTGATATCCTATTCCAGTGAAACGCTGGAAGTCTGAAAGATCACTTTCACTGATTATCAGACTGCCACACAAAGCCTTATATAAGCTTAAAGTGAATTGTAATGAATACTTTGGGAATTAATGTGTAATAAAAAGTATGTAATGAACAGTTCTACTGAAAAGACTTCATGGCAAGGATGACTAGTCACTGCTCAATTGGGCACCTTCACAATCGTTTAAGACAGATTTAATAATAGGTGATGTGACATCTGAATAATCACAATTTCGTTCTGAAGCAATTTATTATTTTCTTTTGAAATTTTTTCCATTTTTGTTAAAATTGTTGCGAATGAGCGATGCTTACTGAGTTCACATTGCTCTTTATGACAGCTGGTGCCGCTGCTAATGAACCATGTAATTTGGTTACAAGCTCCAGAATAAGCTGATATGTGTGTTGGTTATGTTTTGAGCGCTATCATGTTTGCGGTTTATCATCACTCCCTTTTTCTTTGCTAACTGTTTAATTTTCTTTGCTAAGTACAGAAAATTGTGGCATCAGTTTTAAAAAAAAGTTGCCGAGAAGTTTGATTGAAATCCTTTTCCAGTAAAGGTTGCTGTAACAATCATTCTATCCCCTTCCACCCTGGAGGTCTCTGTGCAAGAACCAGACTGCATTTGCTAAAAAAACACAAGTGCAGCCCTTTTTCAAAGAATGCCAAGTGTAGAACATGTAATGAAGAGATTACCTAGTTTCACTAGTTGATGCGGGATGGAGCATTTGTTGTAACATACTTCATTTTTGTTGCAGCAAATTTGTTAAAAAATTGCTCATGACAAATTGTGGAAATGGTTTTTTGAAATCAGTGACTCATGGTTATGAATCTGTGTTCAGTCTCCTCAATTTACATTTTCTAATTGGTTGGTAAAAAAGAAAAGAAAAAAAAAAGACTTAAACAATAGTACATGCAGTCAATGCGAAAAGCAAAGGTCAGAGGCGATTAATGATATATGAGGTACCAATGTCAGGTGACGGGGACTCTGTGCCAAAGGCGTCGGCTGCTCAGGTGTCACTGGCTTTGTGAAGAGAGCAGAGAACAGGAGATCAGCAGCTGTGGACATATCACATCACCAGGTCCAAACACATATTCAGCTTCATACGTGGACAAGACAACAGGTAAGATTCTCTATCCTCTCTGGGTTTATGAGAAAAAGTGGTGAGTGAGGAAAGAAGAAAGATTTTAAACACCTCATAATGTAATAATGTTTTGAGTACTTGCTGTGCTTCCTGTGATTTGCAGCTTTAAAACAAAATAAGCAATAATGGAGAATAGGAAGAAATCCATTTTATTTTATTTTTATTTTGTATGCAGGGCATTTATTTATTTATTTAATTTGTACTAATGTAGTTAGTTTAATAATGACATTTAAAATAATTATTAAGAGGTAAACCTAAAAAAAGAATTAAAAATAAATGTAAATATAGTGTTAGGAATTAGCTATGAATACTTCTAAACCAATATAGTTAGTAATGTATAATGAATTTATTATTACTACAATACAAGTAAAAATGCTAAACATGATTTAATATGTTGTTAGTACTGCATACATATAGTACTAGTAAAACCCTAAATAAAGATGTTTTATTTATAGTGGAGCATTTTTCAGTAAGATGTTGTTTCTTTTAGTTTTATATTTTTTTTTAAATGGCCCTCAAAACTACAATATCTGATCAGATTAGACAGCACATAGGTTAAACATCTGCAGATGCCACATCACACTGTCATCTATCTATTTACATATGCAAACAAGAAGTAAACAGCTTCTTGTTTTCATATGTTTTTCTCAGTTTTTAAAGGCTTAAAACAAAACATATGGGCCATCAAGAGTAGCCATTTAGACAATAAACCAGACTGCCAAAAAGAAACACTTCTTTAGACCAACTTTTTTAGTCTTGGAGGCTGGGGCGCATTCATGCATACGCAGGCTACTAATCTCAGGGGAATGGCTGCGTGCCTGCTACCTCCTCTCCCAGAAGCACTCAGCACAGCAGATGACATGGCTGCGGATGACGCGATTAGATTACAGATACTGAAATTCGTCGGGAGGCTGTAAAGGAAAAAAGAAAGCTTGTTAGTGAATTAAGATGTGCCTTCTTAGTTTTAGATTGATCATATTTGTATTATTTTTTAAAACACATTAGGTGCTGAGATGGGGAATGGACTTCCAGCAAAGACTGCCTCGATTTATTCACTGAGCTGCAGGATCACAGTGACCTTACAACTTAAATGAAAAGAGAAGGCCCCGTACAGTTGTTTCTGCAGACTCTCACCCGAGGACCTTATATAATATTTTCCTGACTAAACTATATTATACATCCTACTCACTGTGAAAATTATAAAGCTTTTCTGTTGCTTCCACCCAGGTTTTCATTTAATTATCTCACACAAAAAACTTTATAATACCACCTTTAGGGAGCCATAACAGTACAGCTCAGGAAGGTAATAATAGGAATACATTACCATGATCACAGACCTTTGAATCTCTACCCACATCTTTGATTTATACCCTAAAGGTAATATTGTAAAATTAGTGATTATAGAAATAAAAGCACCATTGTCAACAGCCTGGCTGAAGAATGATTAGCAGTACCTTTACCTCATTATTATTTTACCACAAAGGTGTCTACTTTAACGTGTGATAGTCACACTTTTTCCTCTTACGAACTGTAAAAGGTGGAAGAAAACCTTTGACGGTATATATTCAAAAACACGTGTTGCTGGAAGAATGGAGTCGATGAGAAGAATCAGACGGAACAGCAAGACTCTTCTTCAGGATCTCTTTTACAGAGGAGTTCACGGAGGAGACAGAGACACTCCTGTGAGTCATTCTATGGGCATGTTTCTGTTCCATGGCTGACATTGCATCTGAACGTTCTCCTTTTCTGAATATTTTTTAAACAGATCCCAGCTCAGCCTAGAGATGCTAAAATGATCCATTCCATTGCCAGTCTGATTAGAGCAAAAAGCAAGCTTCTCCTCCTTGAGAATCCAGACACTGTGGAGATCTACAAGGTCAGAAAAATCTTGAACAGCATGCTAATTTGATAAAATTAGTAACAAGTCCCTTTTTCCCAACACATGACGCATGCAAACTTCAGGAACCTAACATATAATTTTATTATTTTGCTTAAGAATTATGACCAGGTAAACTCTGAGATATCTATTTGCAAAGTTTATTTACTGAGTGTGAGAATTTAAAAAAATTACAAAACTCAAAAATAAGACAACAAAAAAAGAACATACTCACCAGCCTTTTTATTTATAGGTGGATCACTGTAGTATTAGGATGGACTCACTTTTGTCTTCAGAACTGCCTTAATTTTTGTCGAACTAAAACGGCGCTGGAAACTTTCCTCACAGCTTTTGGTCCGTGCTGACATGACACATCAAACAGTTGCTGCAGATTCATCAGACCAGGCAAAAGTTTTCCAATCTTCTATTGCTCAATTTGAGTCAACCTGTTCCAATTATAGCCTTAATTTCTGGTTCTTAGTTGACAGGCGTGTCACCCAGGGTAGTTTTCTGCTGCTGCTTCAAGGTTTGACGTGTTGTACATTAAGAGATGCTCTTCTACAAACCATGATTTTAACAAGAGGTTATTTGAGCTATTATTGGCTTCCTATCAGCTCAAAGCAGCCTGGTTATTCTGCTCTCACCTCTGTCAAGAAGGCAACTCATAGCAAACTGCTGCTCCCTTCATATATTTACCTTAATAGGGCCATTCTCCAACAATCACACAATGTTTAAAGTCACTTAAATAACTTTTTTTTCACTCATTCTGATGCTCAGTTTGAATTCCAGCAGGTCATCTTGAACATATCTATATGTCAAAATGCAGTGAGCTGCTGTCATGTTGTTGGTATTAGATATTCACATTAACAAGCAACTGAAAAAGTATACCCGATAAAGTGTCTGGTGAGTAAATATATACATGGATTGCATACGAAATCCCACAAAAAATATACAAGAAGAGTGTTACCCATCATATAACAGACCTGCTTATTACAGTGGATGTATCAGTATTTCAGTCTTGAGTTAATTCAAATTTTAAGATTTAAAGGTGAAAAATGATCAAAGAGGCAATCATCAGGACTGAAATTTTACCAAATAGGTCATTTCCTACACTACAACAACTAAATAGTTTGTTCCTTTTGTCTGACCAAAAGTCATTCAGAATTTAAAAAGAAAAAAAAAAGAATAAGTAAAGAGTTACTTTGTTTGATCCCAGCAGTGAAATGTGTTCTCTGCCAAACGTAACTATCAGCTGCAGCAGCAGACAGCAGCCCTGGGCTCCCACGAAGCAACTCCAGCTGTTTAACGAGAACCATGATGCAGAAGAAGCACCTTAACATGTTTTTAGAGAAACCAGATTGTAGAAATGGAAATCTTGTTCCTTGACAGCAGCACTGACTACTATGCCTGTGTGCAATGCCTATTAACATGTCATTATTATATTATTACATGAGTAAGTAATACTATTGGTCAGGCAATACCTGTCACCCCTACCTGTCGTCAAACTTATTTATTTATTTATTTTTAACCTCAGTTAAAGTTTGATGTCTTATCAAACACAGTTGTGATGCAGTTGCATGGCAACGACAGGCAGACAGACATGTAAGTGTTCAAAACGGACTTTGAGGTAGTTCCAGTAGGTGTCTCCAGGACCATATTTTAACTGATACAGACACAGAGCCACAGAGTGAAAACAATGCCAGCTACACAATCATTGGTGGGAATGACAGTAATACAAACAGACTGGGAGAAGGAGACACAGAAGATTTACAACACCTTGTATTTTATTTATTTATTTATTTATTTATTTATTTATTTATTTATTTATTTATTTATTTTGCAGCCATAAATATTGGTGGCTACCAATATAAGTAGAGAAGCAGAATGTAGCATAACTGTAAATAAATTCTTTCGATAACATTGATGAGCTATGAAAAAATAAAGTATTCTTTTTAAACTGTTCTTTGAAATGTTGCATGTATCTTGTATTCTTATAATTTGTAACTTTGTAATATATTGCATTATTTAATTTAGTTCAGTCTGTTACTGTTCTTATTGTCTTGGAGCAACTGTAACCAAATCATGTCATTAGAGATTAATAAAGTATTCTGATTCTGATCGTCTCATGTAGCTGAATGAGCCTGGAGCCCTTTCTAGCAGACCTGGAAAAGGTGATGTTTATCTCCCAGCCATCACAGCTAAGGCTTCAAGCCTGAACTCAATCAGAGGCAGTCTGAGTCAGTCGTGCCCTTACCTATATGACAAACGAAGAGGATCCTTCTCCTCAGTGGCTTCTCAGAAAACGGGAGGTCGCACTGCAAAACAGGTAGGCTGATATTTTGCTTGCAACAAAAACAAATTCAAACATGTTTTAAACCCTTCTTCTTACATTTGCACATTCTGCCCTCTTCTTATCAGAGCAGCCTTAATGCACAAAAAGAGGCAAAGAAATCCAATGTCACTGTGACAATGACCTACCTTGGACAAAGACATCGAAATTTGGGGCTCGGGTCAACTCAGGATGAACTGAAAGTACTCCAGCAAGTCAATGGAGGAGAGAATATTTGTGTCTTCAAAGGCCTCGTAACTCCAGGCGGTAAGAACTGCTAAAGCTGAAACCGTATCGTTTGAATGGCCAACAATGATTCAGAAATTCGTTTTTTATATTTCTTTATATTTGACTCCCTTTTGCAGATTTTAAGGCGTTTTCTGCCATTAAGGGGGTCAAAGTAAGAGAAAGAAATCAGTGGCATTAAAGTGTCCACTGCCACAAGCTTAATTCCTCATCAAAGCAACATTTTAATGAGAATGATGAGAACACTGCCCTGAGGCAGAATTTCAGCCGAACACCAATAAAAAGCTGATGTGTGACCTGATGCACTGTCATCGCATAAAAAAAAGTCAATAGACAAGACAAGTTATTTCATCTTTGCAGTCGGTACATGTTGATATACACTGTACAAACATCACTCCAGGGAAGGAATCTCAATGTCAGGCAAGAAAGAGGTTATGGATTTCTGCTTCAGACTGCATGTGTGATGTGTTTACAAAATCCTTGGTAGGAATAAAACAAAGGAGCAGACAATACACAGAAGCACAATCCAAACAGTCTATATAGGATCCCACAAAGTCAATGAGATATGTCGTGACTATTATTGCATTGGTTTTACACTATCTCTACAGTGATATGTGATTTTGATGGCAAGAATGCAGTGACCATTACATACAGATGTAGTTACATCTAACATTTTGACATAATGTTTTTCATTTTAATAAAGTATGTTTTTGGGGAGCGGGGTGGCCCTGTTGCCTTATAGCAAGAAGGTTTAAGTTAGTTTAAATAGTGATTATGGCAACTTGTTTAAGGTTTACCTGCCTCTCGCTCTATTGTTGGTGGGATAGACTCCACCTCCCACTGTCATTGAATTGACTGAGCAGAATAAAATGAAATAGAGAGTATAAAATGAAAAAAAATAGCCTTTTTTGTACTGTCTGACATATCTGTCTTTTTAAAGATATTTTGAGACACCAATCAATGGCTGGAACTGCAACATAAATTGCACTTGGATCTGCATCCTGTTTTGAGTATTGCATCTCTTGATTGCACCTAAAAAGGGTCTCTTTCTAAGTTAATGTCACTATTCCCAAATGGGAGTTGCAAAAACCAACCAGGATGTGGTACGTTTCCAGTGCTGTCAAAGTGGAGGTTCGTTCTAAAATCAAATAAACATGTTGTCTTTCTGACCTTTGGTTCCATTTATCCATCTAGATAGTTTCAGTGTGAGTCACCCAGTTTTGGAGATATAGCCTGCAGAGAACTATTTTCCTTCCACTGAACTACACCTGCCAATCCCACTGAGCTGAGGGAAGCCTATGGTCTAGCCCCGACAAAAAGCTCATGCACAACAAAGCAAACAACATTAACATTGATGGTTTCTTCTAAGAACTTGTGTTGACTCTGGTGTCTTCTTGTCTGAGTTGTAACATTAGCTAGCCACATTACTTCCTTTGGTTTGGTTGGAGGACATAGTTGAAAAGAAAAGAGAAAAGAGTTCCTGAATGAAACTGCTCACATCAAAGTTAATGTTTTTTGTGTTTGTTTGTTTTTGTTGAATCATAATTTCTGAAACAACACATTGCTGATGAACCTCTCAAATGTATTTTTTGGCACTTTGAGCACCACAAGGTGAGTTCTGTCTGGATCCAAGATTTTTAACAGAAGTCTGATACTGTATCTCTACAGCCAATATCACCAAAAACTGGGCAACTCAATCCAAAGCAATTTAGAAGAATAAATAACGCTACAGGCCAGAGGAAGAAGAATCTGCAGATTGATTTTGGGGTAGACTAGCGCTGTAACTCTGTGCTTTTTAGGCCTACTTTTAAACTAAACCAGTTGACGCAGCAAAAGATTGAACACAATGTTTAACTAAAGATAGAAGCAGTGTCAAACATCACCACATGATGACAAATCATAAAAGTGATTTCAATCTCCAAATGCAACCAGTGATGCTATCAATTATGACAAGTGTTTTGGCCCTGGTCTTTTTGTGGGTTTTGCTGCATGTGTGTGTGTGTGTGTGTGTGTGTGTGTGTGTGTGTGTGTGTGTGTGTGTGTGTGCAAGAGAGAGAGAGAGAGAATATGTGAGCTGTGTGTTGCAGGAGGGTTTTGTGTGACACATGAGATTGCAGAAAGTGCAGAACACCTGGCCACTGTTTTTGTGGACCACAAGCCAGTTGTAACACAAGACAAATGCATATGAAACCATTACCAAATGTGATGACCTGCAGCAAGAAAAGCCAAACAAGACTACCTTCTAAAAAGATCAAACGATATCTACAATCTTAATATCTGTGCTGCTTGTATCTTTCAGAGCAGTTCCACTTTTTGTCTCAGAGACATAGAGGTTACCCATTCAGTGCTTCCTTTTATGTCAATGGCATCATGGTGACCAGGATCAGTTCCTGCTGTGAGTACCGCTATACTCCTGGCTTCCAACAGGGCAGGAAGAGCTGCTTCAGATTGACTTGGCTGGCTGGTGGGATACCCTGCTACAGGTAAGATTACATCCTCTGAGAGACAGACAGCATGGCACTGGCAGAAAAATGAGAATTTAATACCAAATGTCAAAACATGTTGGGTAAATCCATTGTTTTGCAGATATAATGTGTTGTGGGTGGACACTGAGGAAAAAGGAAGCATATTTTACAAGATCAGGTGATGTTGGTACAGTAGGTAGAATATAATGAAAGCATATTTCCATCCCTTTCAGATGCACAAATCTCCGAACCAAATACAGCTCCAGCCAGCAGCTGAACAACGGCGCAAAGGAGAACTTAAATCTTTCTCTCGAGCAGAGCACTGGCAATGGTACTAAGCCTGGAAATGAGGGTCTCAATTTTCCATTACTTCCTAAAGCTTTTCATCAACATTTTTTGATATCAGGCCCAGTCCTTGCTTTTGATCAACTACTTTAAAGACAAGATGTCTCACAAAGCTTTTTTTTCCTTCTCATTTTGTCTCTAATGTTTCCGAAGCAGGCGTCATCGAGTCATGTCCATCATCCCCTCTATTTATCCCAGCCAAACCTGTGAAGAAATCCGTGAGGAGGACAAGAAAACACACCAAGGAGGGCAGCAGAGGATCAACAGACAGCGAAGACCTCCCTGTAGCTGGAATTAAAGAGACCTCCAAAAAGAAACGACGCAAGGGTCAAACTAATCAGAAGGAGAGCAAAGGCAAGACAGCTGGAAATGACAGAGGAGAAGAGAGACAAGATGGCAAGAGCTCAACAAGGTCAACAGTGATGGAAAAATTTGAAGACAAGGCATCGTCTGCCAGACGAGAGCAGGACAGAGCAACCAGCCCTGTCACAATCCTGCATACGGGGCAGCTGTCATCGAACACGATAAGCAAATTTCCCGGTATGCAAATTTTAATTTTTATCTGGTTTGATTCCTGTAAGACAAGATGGAAAAATAGGGGAAAATAGAATCTTCTGGCCTTTCAAGGGGAGATACAGATGACCTTCAAGCCTTCTGCCTGTGGTATCTCCATTTAATATTCTTTGCAGAGAAAGAAAACAGAAAAGAAAAAGAGTGTTTCTTTTTAAAGATTCATTGCGGGATGAGGAAGCACTGACGAAGCAGAACAGAGAGAAACAGAAGGGCCTTGGATCAAATGGGAAAAACAGAGATGGGGAAAAGCTGAAGGACTTCTATGAAGAATGTGTGGAAATGAGTGCTGCGTTGAAGCAAGGCCCAAGCAAACATCACTGGTTCAAGGCAAACAGTGAGTAAAGAAACCGCAGCACAGTAGGACCAAAGTGGAATCCCCCTGGAGAGCTGTAGCTGATTTACATAATACACTTAAGCAGAAAAAGGTTGAATTTGCAAGAAAGTGATGCATTGAGAAATGTCTGCTTAAAGGAAGACGGATGACGTGTGGGAGAGGTTATGCAGATACACACATGCCCGCCTGCATAAATTGGAGCTGATCTGCTTTCTCTATTGCTCAAACAGAGGCACAAACCGAATTTTAGATTTTATTATTTACATTTTCAAATTAACCGCGGATATCAGTATCACTGCGTGCACTTGGCTTCGGGACAGTTGGTTTTATTGCACCTGAGTTGTTTAATTTTCTTTCTGTGTGCCAAGTCCTGGAGAGGTGCCGGCTCCAGAAGAGGCTGTCATCGGGCCCCGAAGCTCAACGCTCAGATGTGGAGCTCAGTGCAGAAAGTGACACCATTCTGCAGCGTGATGGAAAGCCAGAGGAAGAAGAGCACATGGTTAATCAGAGCGCTGGCACGGAAGAGTCTGTTAGAGAGCAAGACCTGCAGGCACAGGTGTGTGTATAACACAAATTACTGTGGTGAAACTGTGTTTTCGCCAGAAGCTTTCCTGGCATTAAATCACTGCCAAAAGCCTCGATTCAAGCAGATTCTTCCATTCTGTGTTTTTGTCAGAGCAGGAATTGTATCTGCCAAATAATATAATGAAATGTCAACATTAAAAAAACAATTTGCCCATTAAAGTAATGCACGTTCCATTGTCCCACTTCCCAACTAGCTTTAAGGTTGTTCATGTTATTCCACACTCTGACTATATTACCGTGTTCCAGCTATTCACTAAATAATGTAGTGTTTACACAGAGAGAAACACAGGCTTTTATTGAGTGCCACCATTTTCTCTTTTAATTACTGCTTCATATTTTTAGCTTTTGAGCACAAACGTCCCCCCTGAGGAACTCCAAAATGTAAAATCTACCCTGATAACAGAAAGGTGGCAATATGTCTTAGGCATGTAACACTGATTTGGCAGATAAAATGTTGATTCATTTCATTTGGATGAATTCAGAGGATTTATTCTATTATTTGGGCTTTGAATACAAAGACGAGTTGTTCAAATGGTCGCTGAGTTTTATCTGGGGCATGCAGGCATTTCACTCGGTCATACCGATCATGATGAAAAAGCTTCCAACAGCTCCTGAAAAATTCCTCAAGGTCTAGCAAAATGGCAAAGTAGACGTGGCCGACAGGCAGACCATATGTCTCCGGACTCTCATCTTGTCTGTGTTTAGAAAACCTCCAGCACCTGTCTCCCCCACATCTCTTTCCCACCCGACAACACATCTCACATTGTGTGCTGTTGCGCACATTTACAAACAGTAAATGCTTAATGTTAATATTCCTCTCAGGGCTCAGATGCAAAATGCATTTCTGTATGAAGGACAAAATAATAATCTGCACTTGTGCAAATGTGATTTCTGTATTTTTATAACAGCTGCTTCTCTTGTAATTGAGGTAACTTAGAAGTTAAATGTAATATGTTTTTGCCTGCATCATATCTTTGCAATTCTGTGCTCTCGCATTCTGCACCACTCTACAACAAGATGACAGAAAAGAAGAATTCACAGATATAAAATATATATTCCGCACAGCACAGTGCTCTAGTTTTCCAGTAAGAAACTGTTCTTATGCATAACAGTATAGCGACACTGTATTATAACAGTTTCATTTCCCGCACTGTAATTTTAGAGGGACTTACAGTTTTCTGTGACTTTCTCCTGGTTTGTAAATGTAGCTTCACGCCATGATGACAGTGCTGAGCATGTCTGATGAGGTGGAGCAGCTGGTTCTGAGGAACACGGACCTCACAGATGACCTTCTGCTGAGCCTGGCGGGGTCACTAAAAAGCAGCCTGTCTGAAGTCACACTACTCAATCTCAACCTCAACCTCATTGGCCCCTACGGTGCTCACATTCTGCTGGACGTTCTGAGAGTGAAGCCCCAGGTCAAAGGCCTGCAGTAAGTCCTACGCTCCACTGAGTTGTGTCTTATCAAAATCTGACAAAGAGTAACATTAGAATTCAGAAAACATGCCTCCATCTAAAAGCTTTTGAATATCACTTTTTTTTAAAAAGAGAGAGACAGGAATATGAACGGAACTGAAGAGATAGTATAAAAATGCAGCAAATCCAAGAAACGCAGTAACCAAAGTAATGGATATATAAGTATCACATTAACTGTGTGGGAATTTCAGCCATTTTTATACACAGTCCCCCATTTTCAGCAGCTTATATTTAATTGGTTTCCTTATTATTATTGTGACGCATCAGGCGGATAAAAGTCTGGAGATGATGAAGTTGTATTTGGTACTTTTCAGTGGAATTCTCCACACGAGGTCTAAAGAGATGTCCTTGCAAGTGAGAGAGCCCATCTTTAGGCTATGATAGCAAAAACAATTTAGAAATCTCGCCCATTCTTACAGGAAAACACTGTCGATAACAGCAAGACCAAAATACGTTTTAAACCACAGAAGACAACCAAAGGGAATGATGGAAGCATTCTTCCCTTGGTTAGAAAAACAACTTCACTACATAAAACCAAGTAAAGAACACAGTTGCTGCACAGCTGAAGGTCTGATGCTTCACAGTGCAAACAATAAAACATACTGCAAAGGTGACCCAAGAGTTTTTAAAGGCAAGGAAATATTGCATATTTTTTAATCATCAAGTCAGTCACCTGATTTTTGATTGTTTTTATTTACTGAAGCCAAAACTTAAAGCATAGAGATGCACAAACAAGCGGTAAGTGAAGGCAAATTATCGAGACAGCGGCAGAGTGGTGAGAAAGACCGGCCCCACTATTTCGAGAAGGCCTTTGTTGGCGACAGTCAAGCTTGTGACTCTGCATAATTATTCTGAGACTTCACTTTTTACAGATTAAACAAATGAGATGAGATTTTCAGCTAGCAGACTATTTCTAATACAGCCAATGAAAAGTGTATCTTCATCTCTTAAAGGGGAATAGAGGCAAAGATATTCCTGTAAGGGCTTAAAAATAATTTACCTGTGAAAACACATGAATATATTGCAGCATTATTCCCAAATGCACCAGTTCAGTTCTTCAGTTATTCAAAATCCTTAAATCTAAATTTAACATACCAAATACATCAACCCCTCAACAGGAAAAGGTGTAACAAATTATCAGGACATTCTGCAGTTTTCTGCAGATTCCATTTTACTGCAAAACTGCAAAACAAACACACACACACACACACACACACACACACACAGACACACAAAATCCACCATTTGTGTCATCCAAAAAAAAGTCTTTCTGCCTGAACTTAGATGTCACATAAGAGAAAACTTAATATCAGGGTGCACACAGCTACATTTTCAAGTGAGTGGTTCATGGAGGCTCAAAAATAAATCTCCACAGTAACCTCTATTTTCTCTCTCTACAGCTTGTTTGGGAACAAACTGCGTGACCATGGAGTGCTGACCCTGTTGAACGGAATAGCTGAGCTGCAGGAACAAACAGCAAGAGCAGCTGCTGCTATCCAACAGGCTATGCTTTTCCCATCAGAACACAATATGCTACCTCAGCTGCCCTCTGGATGGAGCTCTTACAGGCTTTTTACACTTTTAGAGCTGGATATTGGAGGAAATGGTTTGAGCAGCGATGGGGTGAAAGTGTTAGCATCATATATGAGATCCCATTCCTATCTTCAGTATTTAGGGCTAGCACAGACCAGCGGTGCCGATCTGGCAGCTTGGAAGGAACTTTTTGACAGCTTAAAAGGAAACAGCTCACTGACTCAGATCATCCTAGACGAAAATAACTTGGGTGACCCCGGGGTCAGGCTGTTGGCTGACATGCTGAAAGAGAACATGAGTTTGCAGCAGGTGGATTTAGACAAGAACTGCATCAGCGATGTGGGAGGAAATGACATCATGGGGGCTTTGCTTTGCAGGACACAGTTTCCACTGAGGCATCTGAGCCTCCAGGAGAACAACATCAGTGCAGGACTAATGAGCAGGATACAGGAGGAGGTAAAATATAAATGAGTCCTGCAGGGGTGGAAGAATACATTCGCAAACCCTGAAAAACTATGTAACATAAACAAAACACTGACTTGAAAACTCATAAGGTTTGTTGTTTACATTCCGGAGGTCAGAGAGGCAAAACCTGACTCATTTGACTTGTTTGACCATCAAACACACGCAAACATAAAGAGCTCTTCCTTCCTATACCTGGGTGGCCCTGCTAAGAAACACTGCATCTCAGTTTAGTTCTGGCAGGTAGTGTGGGAGGCATGTTTACTTTGGTCTGGATGCATTTTCAAAGAGATATCAATGAACTGAACCTTATTTCTGTATGCCAAGGTTACATCTTCATCTTGATTTTTTTTTTCCTACTTCCCACCAGTGTTACCCCTCGTGACTCCACACCTACTTCGCTAAAATCGACTCCAGCAAGACTCCAGGCTCGTCGATCCATCTGTCATTCTATTGAATAATTTGCTGCCTTCTGACAAAAAAGAAACCACAGTGATTCATTCCACCCACAGTATTTACAAGTGGATGACTTACCCACAACATTTTCCCCCAGAGCATTGCAGTAGCTCTTCTCCACGTCTACAAATCAAAAGAGTTATGGACAGTGAACCATACCACATCAACTACCCCTATTTTGTCGTTCTTGCATCTTCATGCGCTAGACAGTACTTCTATTCATAATCTAAGAAGCAAAACTAGGCCACACTCATCTGGATTTCAGGGCCGTCATCTCATTGTTCTATCAACATAGACATTCTGAGAATAACTGTACCTGTGATCAAAGCTTGTCAAAGTGGTAATTATCTCCTCCTCTCAAGGCTGCCAGTAGTGATTCTGTTGAAAACAACCCGTCCATATTTCATCTGCAGTCTCTGCGAATTCCTTTCTGCAGAACCCCGATAAAGGCGCTCCTCGAATCCCCAAGCGGATGACAGATAAATGAGACTGGTGTTCCTGAAGATTACATCTGCAGACGTTATCCGGCGTTGCCGTACCACACTGAATAAGCTTCTGTTTGTGGTGTTTGCACATTTAGAATAAAGATGTCTAAATTGGGGTGTCATGATTTGTCAGGTCAATTCTTAGTTCTGCGGAGGGATGTTATCACAACTAAAATAAGCCCGTGTTTCTTTTTAGTTTTGACTGCTGATATTCTAAGATATTAACAGCCACGTTTGCAGTAGATTCAACACAGAACAAAGTGGTACACCATAACGCTTGGCTAAGCATAAGCTGGCAAACACGAGTCACACTGTAATTCACAGACTCCTTCGATAAGGACTTTGTGCTTCTCTGTTACAAGTAAACCTCGGATCACTGACCCCATTGTCCATCTGCTAATGTATTTAGCCTGAAAGAAATCCTGCAGTGTTACAAGCTTCTTTCAGCTGCTTTTCCAAAAACAAGGCCTTCAACCAGAAGCTCAATCTGTTAGGAATTTACAGGTTGGCTAAAGAAACAGTTTCCCCTTTCAGGCCTTTGTAGATTACTGAGCAGTATCACTTGCTGCTGTACAGTCACATAAGGTCTTGGAAGTCCTGTGATGTCCACCGTTGTTTTAAAGTCAAGGTATAATCAAATCAAACACATCATTCGCCACATTTGCCGATACTGCTAATGGATGAACTACCTAAATCCTTGAAAAACAAAGAGTCGCTCTTACACAGCTGAAAGTAGCATACGTAGGTGCTGCTGATACACTGTTACACAGGAGTACGGTTTCAAATAAGCGAGACTGTGCTGTGGGGAATTGGATAATGGAAAGTCTTCAGAATCGAGTTTCTTGTCTCTGACTTAGGGCAAAAACAAAACAAATGAAGTGAACAATAGTTACCTATCCTCATGGGAAGTTCAGTGATTCAGACATTCTTTAGGGCAGGGTGATGCAATTTATTTCCACTTACAGTGTATAAATGGTCAGTGTCTGTTTCCAGAGCCATTAACTTTTGATGTCTTTGTAATTTTGTCCCACGGATACGCACAGGTGGATTCAAACTTCAAGTTCATTCTTGCACCTGCTTGTGCCAGAAATGGCAAGTGTTAAGATCTGAATGAATGAAAATCCAGGATATGAAAAGAAGAGTGAAACCTCCTAATCTTTAATCAACAGGCTGAGCTTGTGTACTTGTTGGCAGTTGGCAGAGAAAGCAACTTGTGCAAGGAGAAGGCAAAAATCACATTCCAAACTATTCCATATCTGCAGTGTGAATAACTGTGACGAATAGGGCAGCTCAGATCTTTACATTCTTTGTCATGCAGTATATATGGAAAACCAGAACCCAGCACTGTGCAAGACACTGATGTTCTTCGTTTGTTGCCTGTTTGTGTTAGGTCCTGCACCTGCCCCATTCCGATGTGATTCTTCATGTATTTTTCAATCCTTTAAAAAGCTAAAATACCATATTGTATTATTTCCAGCGCTAAAGCATGCTGGGGGAGACTGAATCCACCTGCATCTTTTCCACCATAACAGTGTGAGTCAGTGTATGACATGAGGGAATGGATGCGCAGAGGTGTATGTTGGTGTTGTGTGTTTTTATGGAAGCCTGGGGGTGGTTGAGCATCTGTTCTATATGCCAGATCTATGCTGACCACAGGGATACAACAATTTGTTTCAGCTACACAGTCCAAGTTGTGACTCTCAACCAGATGGAAGCTGCTTTTTGTTAATTTCAAATATTTCTTTATGGGGACTGGAGACAGGCTGCAAGCCCGGAAACATTGCTTGGCTTTGCGGCAGGCTAATTATAAAGAGTCAGTTTGCCAATTTATGACAATGCAAAACAAATCAGCTAAGCCCTCGTCTTTACAGAAAACTCTGCTCTCTTTTCATCTGTTGCAGTAAACAGAAGGGGAGCAGGAAGCTGATGTTGGTTCATTCTTGCTGCACATTCAAAGGACAAGATAAAAATGAGGGTTTCTGGATTTGTGACATGTACCGTAGAGCTGCAGAGATCAGAGATCATCACAGGGTGCAATCCATGACAGAAGAGCAATTCACAGACAAGCTGTGATGACGATGAATACAAAGCTGCAGGAAAGTAAACTGTTAGTACTTCTACTGACATTCAAACGTAGTGTGTGGCATATTATGACAGGACTGGTTTAGAAAATGAGCAACCTAGTGAGTGAGGAAATCCTTTGAAACCTCAGTTATTAAACCACTGTTTGTTCTGCACACGCTGCATCGCCACCTTTACTAGCACACTGTGTGACACAGTATTATGAGGATGCTGAATGAAGCGTTTTAGAGTCCGCTCCTTGAACAATTGCTCCTGCTGCTGTTTGACATTTGGCAGAAAGAGCAGCTTTTCAATATGGATTATTCATCAGCGGTTTGATCCCCCACTCAAATGTCACCACGACAATGCCTCTGACTTGGCAGCAGCGTCTGTCTTTCTGCAGCTCCACGGGGTAAGGAATTGGCAATAATTACCACATCTAATGTGGCCTTCAGACAGATTCAGTCTTTGTGTTCTAGCGCAACTTCAAATTATTATTATTACGCTGTTAAAGAGGGTTAAAATCTTGAGTTACCCTATCACTGCATTATTGCGTTCAGTGCACTCGCTTATAATATATTCTAAAAAAGTAGCAAAGATGGCCGATACATGAACTGGTGCAGCATATCAGGATGAACCAGATGACTGGTGCATTGTATTATGCCAGAGTGTGGAGGGGAAAAAAGTTTATATGTATGTATGCATGCCGCAAATAATGTGTATTTTTTTTAAACCTGCATTCAATAACTGTTTGCGTGACCCAGCACAATAACTATAAAAGGAAAACTGAGAAAACTGCCAATATGCTTGAAAATGTTAAATATTAACAAACTGAAACAACTCAGTGGAGCAATATTATTAACTTTATTTTCCCTTTTCTGTCACCATTGACAAATTTCAGTCCAATATTCTGTCACACTTTGTTTCCACAAATGCCTGAGAAAAAAAAGTCACTACAAAATGATCCACACTGTTGAAAGCTAGTTCTTAACTTTACCCGTCTGTAAAGTTAATATTCCCACAGCTGCCTTCTGTAGGAATATTTAAGGCGAGAGCCGTGAGACTAAACTGTAAAGTTTAGATTCAGGTACAGCTAGGTAGATTTGGTGTGCAGTAGATCAGTTGCGCACAGACAACAGAGTACAGCCTAGAACTAACATAATATACTATTGTTATAGTAGAACAAAGTACAAAGTATTTCTGGGCTGAACATCAAAACAGTGTGCTTTCAGATGTCATCATTCTTTTTGTAGTTGAAGCAGCATTGTTAGTAGGGAAATGAAATGAATATAGTAGTATTTGATACTATTATATCACTCTTTTCCTCCCCAAATTTCCTGTTGTAATATATGGAATGGGTAAACAGAACACCAGGGCATGCTCTTATTGGATCCAGCTGTGCCTGAGCAGAGTCTGCTGCATTCGGCTGGCCCCATTTCCCCAAGACATGAGAGTAAAACAAAAGAGTCTGTGTTTATCAGACAAGAGTTTCCATCTCTAGAGCATGACATGAAAAGATGTGCCATGTGTTAAGCTCATATTTTAAGGTTTGTTATAAAAATAGAACAGAATATCCAAAAATATCCCGTTTACGTTTTTACTCAAATTGAATCCAAATTTAATTGAATATATCACCATAAATCTTAAACTGTGCAAACTGAACTGTTGCTTATAACTAATTAGCACTCAGTTGAACAAATTTGCCTTCTATGCTAATTGCAATGCTAGTTACAACGACACTGTCTGCAGGAAAATCCACCAATTTTCCACACACACACAGAACTTCTCACTTGGGTCCTGTGAAGAAGAGAATATACTATTAAAATACTCATAGAAAATCTAAGCTAATTCATGCTTCCCACTAAAACAAGCTTTTGGCCTGAACTGCGAGGATGCAGGAAAGTATTTGCTTGGATTGGAAGACGACTCTTCTGAAACTGCTGTCAGGTAGAAAAGAAGAAATTTAAATCCCAGAGGCCAAACTGGAAAGAGCTCTCAAACTTCTTCATGTCAAAGACCACCAACATGCATCAGACCACAAACCTTTATGTGCCCAAAGGAACCATATCTGGAAAGACTTCAAATATCTACGACACATAACATTTTAC